TATATTAAAAAATCATAAAATTGATTCACTTTATTATATTGTACGCAGTCTAAAAATGCAGTGACCCGCTAATTTTTAAGAAAATGTAATGTTACAAATCAAATTCTAAGAACACATATTAAGTCATAGAATGCATTTATAACGTAAAAATATAGGAAAAGTTATTTTAAAGTGATACTTGACTAATATTTAACTTATGCTCAAATCGATTCGATATTCATATATGATTCATTAACTATTCGCATTGTTAAAAAAATACGAATATAAATCCAAATTAATATTCGTTTCATATTCGAATTCAAATTAGTATTCGAAAAAATTAAACATATAGAAATACAAAATCCTACTATTCGACTTGATTCGGTTAGTTTACAACCCTAGACTCGATCTAAACTTATCGTTTTTATAATAAATGGGTTAGGTATGACACATATGATTTTGACCCTTTAAAGACTCGTACCCATCAGAAAAACAAATAAGCCTATTATTCATACACACATCTAGTGACTATTTTATATATACACATATGACACATCTTTCATTATCTGAAAAGAAAATTTTTATTTATCTTTTTTGTTTTGTTTATGCTTGCTCCGTCCTATAAAACTTTGTTAAATTTGACTTGCAAATAGAATAATAAACTAAAACTGTGTGATTGAGACTTGAGCAAAAAGATAGAATCCTAATTTAATTACATATTACGTATTTATTAAGTATTTTAAATAGAAGGAAATGCCAACACACACTATCGTGATGTCCTGTGATGGACGGAAATGTGAACCCTCCAGGATAATGAAATTTCAACTTGTGGAATGTGAATGACTGGCCGGTTGGTGACTTGGTGGTATAGCTCAAACGGTAGATAAGGGTGCTAGAAGGAGGAGTGAACCGTTGGAATCCTGCTAATTACGATGAGAGGTTACTATATAAAAATGCATAGGACTTCTGCAATTACTTGGGCCACAATGCCACATGTTCACTCACTATTTGTCAGCTTGTGATTAAAGTCTGATTTACATCTTCCCAGTTAATTGTCTAACTGAAGCCGGGGGGACAAATATACTGGAGTCAAATGTAAACCCTCCAAAATATATATTACCCCATGTTTCTCACTGAGATTTTCTTATCTCTCTTTTTCAATCCGTCCAATTAATTGTGTCTCATACCAAATTTGATAAAATGTGTGTGGTTTTAAATCATTCTTACTTCATTCTTACTTTATCAACCACGTTACTCACTTTAACTTCTTACACTTTATTTGTTTACTTTTTCTAATCTCTCACTCTTCTCTCTTTAATACCTAAATTGTTTTATATAATTATTTATCTAGAAGATTGTACCATTTTTCATCGAGAATCTTAACATGAAACGGAGAGAATGGTAAATCCTCCATCGCGCGTGGAGGTTTTTTGAATTGTTCTAAATAGGAGTAAATGAGGTTTGAAATTCCAAAATAGGACTATATATTATGTTTTTCTTCCTGAATTAGGAGTTGTTACTGTCATGTTTGAAAAATATTGCCATGATTGAAAAATACTGCCATTAATTATAAATACTGCCATTGAAATAGGAGTTGTTACTGTCATGTTAGTCCTATTTCGAGAATAAAAACATAATAATCATGTTTTGAAATTTCGAACTTTATTTACTCCTAGGTGAAGTTATTATGCATATCAAGGCAATATTTGGATAGTCTTTTTTTACATGAAAAGTTAGTAGATATTAAAAAGTCATCCAAAAGTAAAAAAATACATATGTCAAAATTAACTATCTAAGCTACTAAACTAACATAAGAGTGTAAGTACCGTTCACACGCCCCCGCCCCCACCACACGGCAAGGGTAAGGGAGAGAGGAATTTAGCAGAAGAAGACATGACTAGCACGGGACAAACCCCGACTTACTATTAAAGCAGCAAAGTAATCAAAATGTCCAAGGATTAATTAATAATACTCCGTATCAAAATAGGAGGTATGGGCTACGAGTAAAGCCCATCTTCCAAAATCCCACCTTCAAAATCATGCGCCCAGATCCAGGTAGGGAAGTCCACCGGCAGGCCTTACTTCTGCCGCATCAGCTTAGCATCGTACAATCATAGCCCATGCATAGCCGCATAGGACAGACCCCGGCAATTTTTTTTTTTTTTTTTTTTTTTTTTAAATCGTAAAACAGACGGCTTTGGATGTTTTTACTTGGACTGTAATTTGCCCCAGACCAGACCAGACCAGACCAGTCCAGACCAGACCAGACCAGTTCAGACCAGACCAGACCAGACCAGACTTGGATAGTTATAAAAATACAAAGAAACCAGACCTTACCAGACCAGACCAGACCAGTTCAGACCAGACCAGACCAGATCAGACCAGACCAGACCAGACCAGCAAATTACAGTCCAAGTAAAAACATCCTTTATATTAAAATCAAGAACGCATACGAGACAATCTTCAAACAAATTTTACAGATCCAATCGTGAACCCTAGGAGTAGACATATAATCGGTAACCTCATGCAGAGCAACCTGACTCGCTAAACCTAAAACGGATAAATTTAAGCCTAAAACGAACAGATCTAAAACAATGCCTATCAAAATAACTCCGAAAATCTAAAGATTCAAACCAAATCCACTCTGACTAAAACTAAAACTAGCACTACTAAAGAGAAAATAATATTGCAATAAAATATTTCCTCAAACCTCTTCCTAGTATGGAGGTGGTTTTGGAGGCTGAGCTCTTGCAATATGTATGAATTCAAACTCAACCACCATCAGAGCGGTTGACCAAGGCTTCATGATCCAGCACCGATACAAAATCTCATCTGCAATCCGTTCATCCACCGATGTTATCTCATCCGACATAGTTGCAATCCCAAGCATCAGAATACATAAGATTAGAATAATCTGCTGCTCCAACCCCATATTGATGGTGCGGCAGAAAATCTCAACCCCTACAAAGAGGGGAGATGACCGCTAGATTTTAGAGAGAAGAGAGATCTCTCCTCTTTTAAAAAACAAAACAATTATTAGACCCCGACAATATTTGAATCATCTTTTAGCATAAAATGAGGAAATTTGATAGATCTATATAACTAATTGACATGGAGTCTTCTTTGTATGGAGAATCATTAAATTAATTCTAAAATTAATCAAATGATTTGCAATGTTACTGATGGTAACGTTTTAGTTTAACTCTTTAATTTATCGCAGGATTATTTCAACTTTACACCTGCTACTCAAATTTTATCTTGATTTTATATTTAACTTTGGAATAATTTTTACACTTTTCAATCATTATTTCAACTTTCTAGCCAAACAAGTATGCTTCATTCAACTAACATTTCAATTTTAGCGATTTCTATGTAATCCTAGATAAATTAATGGACTTTACTTTCAACTAGTTTTTTCAAACATAACCCAAAACAATTATCAAGCCATATAAAATTCATCAAGAAGGTAGAGGACAAAGTTATCACAAAAATAGATTATAAGGGAATATATAACCAAAAGCATCAAACTTAGACCACTGATGTAGTAAGTCTTTTAGTACGAGTATCGTGTCCACATGGACAGAAAATGGGGATTAAGTGTTGAATACTTTCACCGATTAAAATATATAAATAAATGTGGTGTGCGAATTTTGATTTTTGGAATAAAATTTGAAATTAAAATAAAAATGATTAAAAGGTTCTTTCTAATTAATGACAGAAGGGATACGAAGTTACGGAGCTCCATCGTGTAGGGTTTTAGGAATTCCGCCGCTAAGCGTGTGCGGCAAGCTTTTGAGAAGTGTGGCTATTTTGTAGACACTTCCAGCGATGCAGGCGCTGGCGTGTGTGAAGTATTGGTTCTTTCTCTAGGGTTTTGGCCACTGGAGTTGTTTCTTCCGTTTTCGACATTAGTCGGAGTACGACCATCGTTTTTGTTTCTCTTGTGGTACGTTGGTGCTCGTAGGGTGCGAGACCAGAGCGCGGAGAAGAGGTACTCGTGGAGCAATGCGTCTTGGTTCTTCATTTAGTGCTTCCTTCGCCTTGTTGCTTCTCTGTGCTCTTGGCTTCTACAGCGGAAGAAGCTGTCTGATTGGATTTTGGATTGTTTTGTTGGCTCGGCTCAATTGGGCACTGGTTGTTTGATTGCTACCAGCGGAAGGAGACCAAAGTACGAAGATCTAGGTGCAGGTTTTGTTTTGCATTCTTTATTTTGCAGGTTGTGGTCAGTCATAGCTTGCTTGTGCACCGTTTCGCGATTCAATGAGATGAGGATTGGCGTATGGTAACATGAAGGTATGACAGGGAGTTTGATAAAAAAGGACCAGGATGAGGAAGAAGACGTGGTACTGTTGGCCCGACCTCTTCCTGAACCGCCGCCACGGAAAGTAGCGAGATCAGGTTCCTGTCTCAGCCTAGTGTAACACCGTCCCCAAATATATTTACTTTTGTGTAAATAATGTATTGAACCTTATTAAAGGATTAATGAATTTACGAAGTTGTAAATTTTTTATTATTTTTTTTCGCGTGAATAGTAAATTGCACGTGGGACCCACACCGGGAGCGGGGGCCGCTCGACACTCCCGAGACCACATATTTTATTCATCTTGGTCAAGATAATATTTATATAGTGGTGGATATTTTATTTGGGTCGTGGAAAGGCGCAGGGTTGACCGATTGGGAAAAAGAGGCCCAATTACCGGTACCGACAATTTAACAGATAACAGCCCGAAAATGAATTTCGGAGGCTTATAAATTAAAGTTGGGGAATGTATATTCATTATACATGTCATAATGAGTAAGAGCACATAATATATTTTATTTGACCCGATAAAATAAAATACATTTAAAACAGTCCGAAAAATACAACTTTCGGGACCGATTGTACACATCGGGACTCAATGGGATGACCTCCCACAAGGGTGGGGGCCACCCCACGTTTTTGTGTGCTCAAAATAAACAAGGAGGTGGCTGAGTTGACAAAGGAAGGAGTGGAGGAGGTGCTTTTGGCATCTAAGGTACATGGAGGACCCCCCTCCCTCACTCATTTGTCAATTAAGACAAAAGTGAGACATCCCCTCTCCCTCCAACCATTGAGCTCGACCAAACCATCCAAGGGAGAGAGAAGGAGCTTCAAAATCACCTCCATTGCTGCAAATTTGAGCTCAAGCTTTAGTGCTCAAAGGAAGAAGATTAAAGAGGGAAAAAGTTGGGAAAAGTGTGAACAATTAAGGTAATGACCTTATATTAACTTTTCCTTTATTTTTCTTCCACCATATGAAGTATATATCATATGAAGAACCTTTAGTATGGTTCAATATGTTATAAGTATGGATTTATGGGGTGGAAGATGGTTCTAAGTCCAAGAACGGACTTAGAAGCCAAAACGACCGGTTCACCGGAAAATAACCTTTTTGAGGTTATTTGTATTAATATGGGTTTTATGATTATAAAACCTTGTTAGGCACTTGTAAAGGGTATTTCAAGTGATTTCACAAAGTTGGAAAAAGTCGCCGGAGTTGTCGCCGGAGTTGACCAAGTCGCCGGAGTTTCACCGGAGTTCAACCAAGAAGGGTAGAACTTCTTAACGCTAGTTCAAGGTGAGTGGACGGCTTAATATCTTATAACTTTTGGGTTAATTATGAGATTACCTAAATAAATGTTATATGTATTCATAATGATGTTTAAAAGATATTTAAACATGTGACTAGCCAACATTATTAAGTTGTATGAAAAGAATTAATTGTTTATGCATGAAATATGATATGAGGAATTATATAAAATGCATATTAGCTTGAAGTGTAAAAGAAGCACAAATGAGTATGATTAACTTAATCATATGGTGATTAAGTTGATATGTACAAGGCTTGAATTGGCGGTCAACGACAACGTTGACCGATGAATGATGGATTAATTAATATCGGTTGATGTTAGTTAATTATACATTTATATAAATGCATGGCTTTGCATGGATTGTGATACATAAGATTTATGTATTGGATTAGTTATGAGTAACTAAGGATGATATAGACTCTATCTAAGTTGATAGGAGGTTGATCATAGGAAAACTTGGTGGAGGACCCTAGTACTTAAAAAGTACTTAACACTCAAACTTGGTGGAGGACCCTAGTACTTAAAAAGTACTTAACACTCAAACTTGGTGGAGGACCCTAGGACTTAAAGTCCTTAACACTCAAACTTGGTGGAGGACCCTAGTACTTAAAAAGTACTTAACACTCAAACTTGGTGGAGGACCCTAGTACTTAAAAGTACTTAACACTCAAAACTTGGTGGAGGACCCTAGGACTTAAAGTCTTTAACACTCAAACATGGTGGAGGACCCTAGTACTAAAAAGTACTTAACACTCAAAACTTGGTGGAGGACCCTAGGACTTATGAGTCCTTAACACTCACAAACCGGTGGAGTATCCAAGGATTATGATCCTAAAACTCATAGATTATGATATACAAATAGGGACAAGGAGGAGTCCTATACACTCATAGGTATATGGGTGGGTTGGGGTTTTTGGTCAAGAATATTGACTATCACTATTTTTCCCAAATGAACGGTGATCTACGGATCGGATATTTTCCAAGTATAAATATACTAATAAGTATTTCATAACTTGGGGGAAAGACTATTTATTTAAGTATCACCCTATGTTTGGGTCTTATACTTGAAACGCTAGTTATTCTATATTTAGCCTGCTACTCGCTCGGTACTTGTACTGACCCCTTCGGGGGGCCCCACCATTTTCAGGTTGAAGCTAGGGCTTGCTACTTGCACCTTCTCAAGGGTGATATCAAATCAGGAAGACGTGGTTCGTGCTTCCTTGTTTTCTTTCAAACTACCGAACACTTGCTCATGGATATTTGTTTTACTATAAACTATTTTTGGGGCTTGCATGCCCATGTTGTTGGCCGGTTGTGGCTCATGACGTACCGTTGAATATTTCCGCTATTCATTGGTTTGAATGTGATGTTGTTATGTATGTTTACTACTGAGTATGGATGGATTGTTTTTCTCGAACGCCTTGTGTAATTAAGTGAGGTTGACTCGTGGGTGACATCACTTAATTATACGGCGGTTGTACACGCGCTTGGATTGCGGTCTGGGGCGTGACAATTAAGTGGTATCAGAGCCATCTCAGTTCTAAACATTATAATCAACCTCTCACAAAAGATTTTACAAAAGAGTTTTTACCGAAAACCATGAGCATTGTATTTTGACGTTTATAGGACTATTGGTGCTTAAGTTGCAAGGCCTCTGATTGTTAAGACGGTACCCTTAACAATTGGTATGGTAGTGACTTGGGCCAATACGTGTCTGTAACGTTCTTCCGTCAGTTGACATTCATAGGAGTCTAATGACTCATCCATATTTCTTTCAGAAATGGAGGGCAGGCGAATGAGGACCAGGAACAATCCGAGGGGGCAGGCGCCGATAGCATCCCAAAGGGGAAGCCGGGCTGCATCTCGGGGTTCGAGAGGAGGCCGTGGAGGCCGTGGAAGCCGTGGAGGTCATCAAGCTCAAACTGTGAGCGATGGCCATGTGAGCTCGGTGTATGAGACCAACACCGAAGACTACGACTCAACCTACGTGCCAGAGACGGAGCACGAAGAGACCCCGTATGATGGGGGTGACACGTACACCGATGATGATGATGAAGAGAGTAATGCCAAGTTCGCCCAAATGGGCGAATTGCTTGGATGGTATCAAAAAGAAAAATTGAGGAGGGACCTTAGGCGCCAAGCGAGGCGTGGCTCTCGCGGTGGTTCGGGTCAAGGAAGCCGGGGAGCTTCCGTGGCCACCCCAGCGGCGTCACAAGGTGGGCGTGAAGGAGGTTTTGTCGTGAGAATCTCCAAGTACCTCAAGGAGGCTAGGGCCTTGGGGTGTAGGTCCTTTGACGGCACCGGTGACATTACCGTTGCCGCAGATTGGATTAAGAAGGTGAAGGATGCATCAAGAGACATGCAAATCACACCGGACGTGAAGTTGACTGTCGCTTCACGGTTACTTGAAGGGATAGCCTCTACGTGGTGGGAGAGCGTGGAAGGGAAGTACCATGGGGAAATAACATGGGCGGACTTTGAGCTAGAGTTCTATGCTCAATACTACTCCGAGTACGAGGTGAATGTGAAACGGAGAGAGTACACTAACCTCAAACAGAAAGATGGCGGCACAGTTAAACAACTGGAACAAGAGTTTAGAACCTTGGCTAGGTTCTTGCCGGAGTACGCGGTTGATGAGAACCGCATGACGGAGCACTTTTGGGATGCCCTACTCTTGGACATTCGTGACCGAGCTACGTACTCGCGCCACATTACCTTCAGCGAGGTGGTGGAACAGGGCCTTCTCGGGGAGGCCCAATGGAATGAGAGGAAAGAGAGAGACGCCGAAGAGGCGAAAAAGAGGAAATGGCAAAGTTCGGGGCCGCCCGAGCAAGCACGGAAGGATAAACACGGCGGAGGTGGCGGTTCGTTCAAGACTCCGGCACCACCGGCAAAGAAGAACAGGGATGCTCGGTGGCATGCATCCTCCTCCCAAAAGACGGGGCCTCCAAGGTGTGCCAATTGTTCGAAAAATCACTTTGGGAAGTGCAATGCACCCCCGAGGTGTTATCAATGTGGGAACACGGGCCACATGAAGGCCAATTGCCCACAACTGGGGGGCGGAGGAGCTCCGGGATCCGGAGGAGGAACCACGACGGGAAGGAACCGTGCGGGGCCGTCAAACGGCGGCACGGGAAGAGGCGGCGCATCCACAAGTCATGCCGCGTCCGTAAATCAAGGCGGGACCCAAGCACGAGTGTACGCAATGACCGAGGCGGATACGCGAGCAAACCCGGACTCCGTTGCAGGTAATACACTTATTTTCCTGTATTGCTAGGCTTATTTGGGTCATATAAGTCATTGGGTTTGGGTGCGGGCCACCCCGGGGTCAAACCCCGCGAATTCGGGGCGAAACGGGCTAAAAACAACTACGCGCGATCGCGCGTACCTACAGACGCACGACCGTGCGTGCGAGGCAGTAGCCTCTGGTCATTTTCCGCGCAGACGCACGCCGTGCGTGCAGGTAAGGCACGCCGTGCGTGGGACGCACGATCGTGCGTGACCAGCTACGCACGATCGTGCGTAGCCGGCAGTGGCGGATTCCGAATTTCTCACGCACGCACGACCGTGCGTGCCACCCAGGCACGCCGTGCGTGGACCCCCAACACCCGAAAATTGATTTTTCGCCCCGTTCTTCTACGTTTGGATCCCCGTTTGATTCCAAACATTAGTATGAACCTAATAACCTCCTAAAGATGTGTAAAAACATTAGAAAAGGTATCTTACATGGTGTATAAATGTAGGAACATTAAAGATCAATGGTAGGTGTGCGAGGATCCTCATCGATACCGGGGCACAACGCTCATTTGTGAGTGAGGCGTTTGCCGAGGGGCTCGACGTGCCATTGACGCCTATGACACAAACATTGCTAGTCTCCACACCGTTAGGAGACGACGTGGAGAGAAATCATTACTATCCATCATGTGAGGTGGAAGTGACGGGTCAATCCTTGACTTGTGATTTCGTACCTCTAAGCATGTTGGAGTTCGATGCAATTCTAGGAATGGATTGGCTTGAGAAGCACCACGCTCGAGTTGATTGCTACACCAAGGTGTTAGAGCTCGAGGATGATCTAGGAAACACGTTACGTTTCGAAGGAGATCGGGGGAAATCTAGTGCTTGTATCATATCCGTGATGAGAGCACGGAAGATGATGAGGAAGGGATGCCACGCATACCTTGCCTACGTGGTGGACGATACCAAGAAGGAAGTCGACATCAAAGATGTACGGGTCGTGTGCAAGTACCCGGATGTCTTTCCCAAAGACCTACCGGGGCTTCCACCCGATAGAGAGATAGAGTTTGTAATTGAAGTGGAGCCGGGAACTAAACCCATTTCGATTCCTCCTTATCGAATGGCGCCGGCCGAACTCCAAGAGTTGAAGGTCCAACTACAAGAATTACTGGACAACGGGTTCATCAGACCCAGTCATTCACCGTGGGGAGCACCCGTACTCTTCGTAAAAAGAAAGATGGTACACTAAGAATGTGTATTGACTACCGACAGTTGAACAAGGTCACAATCAAGAACAGGTATCCCTTACCGAGGATTGATGACTTGTTCGATCAACTTCGGGGGGCAATAGTGTTCTCGAAGATTGATTTGAGGTCGGGGTATCATCAGTTGAAGATGAAGGAAAGCGACATACCTAAAAGTGCATTCCGTACTAGGTATGGTCATTACGAGTTCCTTGTGATGTCATTTGGTTTAACCAACGCACCGGCGGCATTCATGGACTTGATGAACCGGGTGTTTAGTGAATACTTAGATCAATTTGTAATAGTATTCATTGATGATATCTTGATATACTCCAAGAGCGAGGAGGAGCACGAACATCATTTGGGGCTTATACTTGATCGGCTAAGGGAAAAGCAACTCTTTGCCAAGTTCTCTAAATGCGAATTTTGGCTCAAGGAGATTGGTTTTCTTGGTCACGTCATATCCGGTTCGGGCGTAGCTGTGGATAACGCCAAGATAAAAGCTATCATGGATTGGGAGAGACCCAAGAATGTGAAAGAGATACGTAGTTTCCTTGGCCTAGCGGGATACTATCGTAAATTTGTTGAGAAATTCTCCGTATTGGCGTCTCCATTAACGAAGCTCACGAAGAAAGGGGCCAAGTTCATATGGGACGACAAGTGTGAGAAGGGGTTCCTTGAATTGAAGAAACGACTTACCGAAGCACCAGTCCTGGCCCTACCCATACAGGGTATAGGGTACGACATTTACAGCGATGCTAGCATCCAAGGGCTTGGATGTGTACTAATGCAAAACGGTAAGGTGATTGCCTATGCTTCTAGGCAATTGAGGAAACACGAGGTGAACTACCCTACTCACGATCTAGAGTTGGGGGCGGTGGTGTTTGCATTGAAGATTTGGAGGCATTATCTCTACGGGGAGACGTGTCACATTTATACTGATCATAAGAGCTTGAAGTATGTATTCACTCAGAAAGAGTTGAATATGAGGCAGAGGAGATGGATGGAGTTGATCAAGGACTATGACTCGATCATCGACTATCATCCCGGAAAGGCCAATGTAGTGGCCGACGCACTGAGCAGAAAGAGTACGTCGGGGACGCTACTCACATGTCTACGGGCATTGAGGGCACACGTGGAGGTATCCACGAGCGGGGCGCTCATTGCTAGGTTCGAGGTGAGGCCTACATTGCTGGGTGAGATCAGCAGATGTCAGGCCATTGATGAGGAATGTCAGAAGATCCGCGAACGGATCCTTGAGGGGCCCGTCGAGAAATTTCGGGTACGTGATGACGGTCTTTTGTTATTTAAGGACCGTGTGTGCATACCAAAGAATGAGGAGCTCCAGAAGTCTATACTTGAGGAGGCTCATTCTTCAGCATATGCTATGCATCCAGGAGGTACTAAGATGTACCGAGATTTGAAGGAAAGTTACTGGTGGTCAGGCATGAAGAGAGACATCGCCGAGTATGTGAGTCGATGCCTTACTTGTCAGCAAGTTAAGGCAGAACATCAGCACCCGGCAGGGCTTTTGCAGCCGCTCACCATCCCAGAGTGGAAGTGGGAGCACGTGACCATGGACTTCGTGGTGGGGCTACCACGAACAGTGAACAACTATGATGCAGTTTGGGTAGTGGTTGATAGGCTCACCAAGAGTGCACACTTTTTGCCTATCAACATTACTTATCCTCTTGAAAGATTGGCCAAGCTATACACGGAGGAAATTGTGAGATTACATGGAGTCCCAATATCCATTGTCTCGGATAGGGATCCACGATTCACATCCCGATTTTGGCCAAAGTTTCAAGCATCGTTGGGTACTAAACTGAAGTTTAGCACAGCTTTTCACCCACAGACGGATGGACAGTCCGAACGGGTGATACAGATTCTGGAAGACATGCTTAGGGCATGTGCTTTGGAGTTCCAAGGAAGTTGGGACAAGCATTTGGCTCTAGTGGAGTCTGCTTATAACAACAGTTATCAAGCAAGTATCGGCATGCCTCCATATGAAGCATTGTATGGGAGGAAATGCAGAACACCGTTGTGTTGGGACGAGGTTGGCGAGGCCAAACTCGAAGGGATAGAACTGGTTGAGATCACCAAGGCCAAGGTAAGGATCATTCGGGATAGACTGAAGGCCGCTCAGGACCGACAGAAGAGTTATGCTGACAAACGGCGGAGACCGTTGGAGTTCGAGGTCGGTGATGAGGTTTTTCTAAGGATTTCTCCTTGGAAGGGCATCATCCGATTTGTATCGAGGGGGAAGCTTAATCCCCGATACATTGGTCCATTTGAGATCCTTGAAAGGATTGGGGCCGTGGCTTACCGCCTCAAGTTGACACCAGAGCTTGAGAAGATACATGACGTGTTTCATGTATCGATGCTCAAGAAGTACATACGGGACCCATCTCATATTCTTGAGAAACCACCGGTAGAGATCCGTGAGGACTTGCAATATGCGGTGGAACCAGTGAAGATTGTTGGTCAACAAGTGAAGAAGCTTAGGAATAAAGAGATTCCTATGGTAAAGGTTCTTTGGAGGAGCGATCGAGTCGAAGAAGAAACTTGGGAGACCGAGATCTCAATGAGGGAGCAATACCCATTTCTTTTCGATTAGATACTTGGATTTCGGGGACGAAATCCCAAATAAGGGGGGGTGAACTTGTAACACCGTCCCCAAATATATTTACTTTTGTGTAAATAATGTATTGAACCTTATTAAAGGATTAATGAATTTACGAAGTTGTAAATTTTTTATTATTTTTTTTCGCGTGAATAGTAAATTGCACGTGGGACCCACACCGGGAGCGGGGGCCGCTCGACACTCCCGAGACCACATATTTTATTCATCTTGGTCAAGATAATATTTATATAGTGGTGGATATTTTATTTGGGTCGTGGAAAGGCGCAGGGTTGACCGATTGGGAAAAAGAGGCCCAATTACCGGTACCGACAATTTAACAGATAACAGCCCGAAAATGAATTTCGGAGGCTTATAAATTAAAGTTGGGGAATGTATATTCATTATACATGTCATAATGAGTAAGAGCACATAATATATTTTATTTGACCCGATAAAATAAAATACATTTAAAACAGTCCGAAAAATACAACTTTCGGGACCGATTGTACACATCGGGACTCAATGGGATGACCTCCCACAAGGGTGGGGGCCACCCCACGTTTTTGTGTGCTCAAAATAAACAAGGAGGTGGCTGAGTTGACAAAGGAAGGAGTGGAGGAGGTGCTTTTGGCATCTAAGGTACATGGAGGACCCCCCTCCCTCACTCATTTGTCAATTAAGACAAAAGTGAGACATCCCCTCTCCCTCCAACCATTGAGCTCGACCAAACCATCCAAGGGAGAGAGAAGGAGCTTCAAAATCACCTCCATTGCTGCAAATTTGAGCTCAAGCTTTAGTGCTCAAAGGAAGAAGATTAAAGAGGGAAAAAGTTGGGAAAAGTGTGAACAATTAAGGTAATGACCTTATATTAACTTTTCCTTTATTTTTCTTCCACCATATGAAGTATATATCATATGAAGAACCTTTAGTATGGTTCAATATGTTATAAGTATGGATTTATGGGGTGGAAGATGGTTCTAAGTCCAAGAACGGACTTAGAAGCCAAAACGACCGGTTCACCGGAAAATAACCTTTTTGAGGTTATTTGTATTAATATGGGTTTTATGATTATAAAACCTTGTTAGGCACTTGTAAAGGGTATTTCAAGTGATTTCACAAAGTTGGAAAAAGTCGCCGGAGTTGTCGCCGGAGTTGACCAAGTCGCCGGAGTTTCACCGGAGTTCAACCAAGAAGGGTAGAACTTCTTAACGCTAGTTCAAGGTGAGTGGACGGCTTAATATCTTATAACTTTTGGGTTAATTATGAGATTACCTAAATAAATGTTATATGTATTCATAATGATGTTTAAAAGATATTTAAACATGTGACTAGCCAACATTATTAAGTTGTATGAAAAGAATTAATTGTTTATGCATGAAATATGATATGAGGAATTATATAAAATGCATATTAGCTTGAAGTGTAAAAGAAGCACAAATGAGTATGATTAACTTAATCATATGGTGATTAAGTTGATATGTACAAGGCTTGAATTGGCGGTCAACGACAACGTTGACCGATGAATGATGGATTAATTAATATCGGTTGATGTTAGTTAATTATACATTTATATAAATGCATGGCTTTGCATGGATTGTGATACATAAGATTTATGTATTGGATTAGTTATGAGTAACTAAGGATGATATAGACTCTATCTAAGTTGATAGGAGGTTGATCATAGGAAAACTTGGTGGAGGACCCTAGTACTTAAAAAGTACTTAACACTCAAACTTGGTGGAGGACCCTAGTACTTAAAAAGTACTTAACACTCAAACTTGGTGGAGGACCCTAGGACTTAAAGTCCTTAACACTCAAACTTGGTGGAGGACCCTAGTACTTAAAAAGTACTTAACACTCAAACTTGGTGGAGGACCCTAGTACTTAAAAGTACTTAACACTCAAAACTTGGTGGAGGACCCTAGGACTTAAAGTCTTTAACACTCAAACATGGTGGAGGACCCTAGTACTAAAAAGTACTTAACACTCAAAACTTGGTGGAGGACCCTAGGACTTATGAGTCCTTAACACTCACAAACCGGTGGAGTATCCAAGGATTATGATCCTAAAACTCATAGATTATGATATACAAATAGGGACAAGGAGGAGTCCTATACACTCATAGGTATATGGGTGGGTTGGGGTTTTTGGTCAAGAATATTGACTATCACTATTTTTCCCAAATGAACGGTGATCTACGGATCGGATATTTTCCAAGTATAAATATACTAATAAGTATTTCATAACTTGGGGGAAAGACTATTTATTTAAGTATCACCCTATGTTTGGGTCTTATACTTGAAACGCTAGTTATTCTATATTTAGCCTGCTACTCGCTCGGTACTTGTACTGACCCCTTCGGGGGGCCCCACCATTTTCAGGTTGAAGCTAGGGCTTGCTACTTGCACCTTCTCAAGGGTGATATCAAATCAGGAAGACGTGGTTCGTGCTTCCTTGTTTTCTTTCAAACTACCGAACACTTGCTCATGGATATTTGTTTTACTATAAACTATTTTTGGGGCTTGCATGCCCATGTTGTTGGCCGGTTGTGGCTCATGACGTACCGTTGAATATTTCCGCTATTCATTGGTTTGAATGTGATGTTGTTATGTATGTTTACTACTGAGTATGGATGGATTGTTTTTCTCGAACGCCTTGTGTAATTAAGTGAGGTTGACTCGTGGGTGACATCACTTAATTATACGGCGGTTGTACACGCGCTTGGATTGCGGTCTGGGGCGTGACACTAGTGCTTTGGAAGATGCAGCAGAGATGTTATTTTATCATTATTTTTGTTTTCATTGAGACTGAATACTCTATTTTCTGTCATTTTGTTTTTTGTCTGTATTGTAAGACTTTGAGCTTACATTTGGGTGACAGGAGGTCTGTGTTTCCGTCTTTGTCCCGTTTGCGCCCATAAATGGATCAACGAGTTATATTGCTTCTTTTGAGGTGGTTCACTCTGAGTCTGGTTCGAGGGTCGGCGGTTGCGTGCGTTCTCTTTTTCTTTTTAGCCCTTATCTGTATGTTGTGATATCAATTTAAGCCACCTTTCCTAAAAAAAAATTGTGACAGAAGGGAAACATGAATTGATTCCGGAGCAACCAGATTTCGGAGCTGGTCAGGCTTAAACACATGAAAATTATTTAGTTGAGCAACATGACACAGGTCAATACTAATTTCTTACCGTTCTCGCGGTGTAGAGTACAATAATTTAGAGAATTAGGTTGATCTCTCATGTGATAAATTTCTAAACTATTGTAAAAACGAACTAGCATACGGTTACCTAATCGTGTTAATACCTTAGCGAGTGTTAGGTGTGTGTGAAGATGCCCTAGAACCAATTTAGATCGATCTTAAATTATATTATTCTATGTGCAATCATAATTGTAGCGGCCGTTCCAGGTAACAAAATATATCACTTAAACTATTCAAACACAACTAAAATGATAATCATGCATTTAAACTTAAACCATCAAGAACGAACCCTAGGTCGTGATTAATACCTCCTTTATCAATCCCAAATTTCTAACTAAAACTACTCATAATTCACAATTGAAAGATTAAGAGTAATTTGAATTTCGAACTCTTATGTGCCCAGCGGGTTTCGAACGGTTAACTCACAACCAGCTGGGCTGGAAGCCTGGAATGCTTGATTAGTTGAATTGTTTTTTACTCCGTATGTTTTTGAGAGACTGTCTTCAAATGCCAAATACAATGTTAAGATATAGACATTGTTGTTGAAATTTTAGGATAAACTTACTAAAAAATCCTAAGAACGTGAAAAGAAAGACGTAAATGTATCATGAATTTATTCTTTCGTGTATATATCTCTGATCTCACATATGAGCTAAAATCAACCTACTAGTCATTCAAAATGTTCTATTGTAATTTGATACGGAGTATTACTTTATCGAATGTGGAGAAATGAAAAATGTTAAAGGTACCCCAATTCGTACCCCAATTTGTACCTCCACCCTATTTTTGTGGCTCACAAAAGCACCTCATTAAAGTGGGGCAATTCATTTGTTGATGTGGGCTTTTGTGAGCCACAAAAATGGGTTGGGATACAAATTGGGGTACCAAACTACCAATTGGGGTACCTATAGCAAGGTTGGTGGAGAAATACTATACATCTATTCATTGCTAAGGTTAATCACAATCCTCTGTTCACACATCAAATTTCTCACAAGTTTTGACATGTTCGCTCCGTTAATCAAATTTTTCCATACATTTATACGGAGTAATATATTTGAGGATCATTTTTTTAATTAATTTATTATAAATAACCTTTTTGCCAAATTTCTTTTTGCAAATAAATATGGTATAAAAGTTAAACATTTCGATATAAAGATGCATCGGTCTAGAGTTGAATTTTGTTGTTGTTGTTGTTGTTGTTGTTTCAGACCTATTTTTGAAAAAATAAACTATAGATCTGAAAAAAAACATTTTAATCATGTTATCTTAATTTGAGAACTTGAATCTACTTTAAGAAAAAAATTAAGTCCGAAAACATCTTGCGATTAAAATTTCATAGTGCTTTTGATTTTAATATATGCAATATTAGTGTATGAATATTTTACAAGTTAAAAATTTTGATATACTTTTCTTTAAAATGGGAATATAGACAAAAACTCATACTACATTAAAAAAATTGCAGACAATTTTTAAGTATTAACCGTACTCTATTGTAATACTCCGGTCCTAATATATTTGCGTACAAAGTGTCTTCTGTTGTAAAATGAAGAAGATGAAGACTTAAATAAAGAGATAGATATATTGATAAAAAACCTCTAAATCACTTCTTCTTAATATAACTAATAATTTCTGAGTTTCTAAGTACATTTATAAGGCATCACCAAACCCCTATTTATACTGATGGAGCTTGATGATGAATCATCAAAGAATCATTCTACATAATATGCTGGCAACATTAAACCTAGCCATCTGTTTATTACAAGGATGGAAATTGGATTAGTGTTCTGATGACAAGGATGAACAATTCACACTTGTCATTCTCAGGAATTTACAACACTCCCCCTTGAATGTTCATCCTTGAATAGTTATTTGTTATTTAAAAACTTGTTGTGAAATTAAGGGGTAAAAATTACGACTTATAATGTCATTGTATTTGGATGTACTGTCTCGTTAAAAACCTTATCAGGAAAAACCCAGAGGGATAAAAACCTGATGAAGGGAAAAAGAGTGCAGTGCATTCAAATACTCCCCCTGAATTTAGTATAAATTATGAAGACGTCGCATGCCGATTTTCTGTACAAGTTCCATGAACTTCTTCGGGTGTAAAGATTTGGTGAAGAGATCGGCTGGATTTTCACTGGATCTGATTTGTTGAATGTTGATCGTCCCTTCTTTCTCCAGATCATGAGTAGAGAAGAATTTTGGTGATATGTGTTTTGTTCTGTCACCTTTGATGTAGCCTTCTTTAATCTGAGCTATACACGCAGTGTTGTCTTCGTAGATCACTGTCGGGTGACAAGTAATAGGCTTTATACCGCATTCATTTTGGATGTGTTGAATCATAGATCGCAGCCACACGCATTCCCTCCCGGTTTCATAAAGTGCAATTAACTCCGAATGATTTGATGATGTAGCTGTCAACGTCTGTTTCATAGATCTCCAAGAGATTGCGGTATTACCATAAGTAAATACGTACCCGGTTTGTGATTTTGCCTTTTGAGGATCTGATAGGTATCCAGCGTCTGCATATCCGATTAAAGAAGCTTTTGCATCTTTGTGGTAGAATAGGCCGAGATCAACTGTACCACGGAGATAACGGAATATGTGCTTGATCCCGTTCCAATGACGTCTTGTTGGGCATGAACTGTATCTAGCTAATAAATTTACAGAAAATGCAATATCTGGTCTAGTATTATTAGCTAAATACATTAAAGCTCCAATAGCACTCAGATATGGTACTTCAGGACCGAGTATTTCTTCGTCGTCTTCTCGGGGACGGAATGGATCATCGTGTATGTTGAGAGATCGAATGACCATTGGTGAAGTCAAAGGATGAGCTTTGTCCATATAGAATCTCTTCAACACTTTCTCGGTGTAATTGGATTGGTGGATGAAAATTCCATTCTTCAAATGCTCAATTTGAAGTCCGAGACAAAATTTGGTTCTCCCGAGATCTTTCATTTCAAATTCTTTCATAAGATATTTTGCAGTATTTTCAATTTCATCGGGAGTTCCAATAATGTTTAAGTCATCAACATATACTGCAATTATGGCGAATCCCGAATTTGATCGCCGAATGAAAACACATGGACTAATCGGATCATTCTTATATCCTTCTTTGAGAAGGTATTCACTGAGACGATTATACCACATTCGTCCAGATTGTTTTAGTCCATACAATGACTTTTGTAATTTAATGGAAAACATGTCTCGGGGTTTCGAGCTATAAGCTTCAGACATTTTAAATCCACCGGGAACTTTCATGTAAATGTCTGTATCAAGTGAACCATATATAAGGCTGAGCACGGGTCGGGTTCGGGCGGGTCGGGTCTGCATACCCTAAACCCGTTCGGGTTTTTTAAGTTAAATACTAGGCCCGACCCTTTTGATATTTCAAATCGGGTTTTTCGGATATTTGTAAGTCGGATATTATCGAATATCGGATCGGGTTTCGGATATTTCGGTTATATTAAAAAAATTATAATTGGATAATTAAAGTGTTTGAATGCCCCTTTGACAAAAATTCTACAAACTAGTGCACTAAACATTCAAATTACGCAAATAATGTAATACAAATTGCATAAATAATTACACAAATAATTGAACACAAGTATTAATTTAACATATTCAAAGTACACACTACATAATTTAATATGTTTCGAATATTTCGGTTATATTAAAACACATTATAATTAGATAATTAAAGTGTTGGAATGTCACTTTGACAAAAACTGTACAAACTAGTGCACTACACATTCAAATTACAAAAATAATTTAACACAAATTGCACAAATAGTTACACAAATAATTGAACACAAGTATTAATTTAACATATTCAAAATACACACTAATATATTTCGGATATTCGGGCGGGTCGGGTTTGGATTTTACAAACCCTACCCGCCACCCGATCTAGGCCCAATACTAATCGGATTTTCGGTTTCGGATTTTTCGGGTCAGATATCCATTTCGGTTCGGATATTATCCGAAAAAAACTTCGGGTTTTGCGGGTCGGTTCGGGTTTTGCTCAGCCCTACAGGCGCAAAAAACTTCGGGTTTTGCGGGTCCATATAGATAGGCGGTCACTACATCCATTAGGCGCATTTGCAGCCTTTCAAAAACAGACATGCCAATGAGAAACCTTAATGTAGTTGCATCAACTACTGGAGAATAGGTTTCTTCATAATCGATTCCCGGCATTTGAGAAAAACCTTGGGCAATAAGTCGGGCTCTATATCTAATAATTTCACTTTTCTCATTGCGTTTACGCACAAATACCGATTTAAATCCACAGGTTTTATGCCTTTTGGCGTAGGGACTATCGGTCCAAAAACATCACGTTTTTCAAGTGATTTTAATTCAGCTTGAATAGCTTCATTCCATTTTGGCCAATCTTGTCGTTTCCGACATTCTTCAATTGATGTTGGCTCATTGTCATTGTTTTCATTCATAACATTTGTGGCAACGGCATAGACAAATATCTCATTAATATCAATATCTTTTCGATTCCATTGCATTCCAGTAGAAACGTAGTTTATTGAAATTTCATAATTATCAACGTTTCTATCATTATCTGGAACATCTTCCTCATTTAAGGAAGTTGGGTCATTATTTGAGAT